GGTCTAGTAGTAAATGAAAAAGGCGATTTTTTCACAACGATTGGAAGTAACGCAAAAAACAACAACACCATAATAATAAAACGATCCATAGGGTACACTACGTGTGCAAAAACATTGTCGTATGCGACTAACAAGTATGGTCGTCTGTGGCACGCGTAAAAGGATTTCGCGTGTCAGTACCTACAGATTATAGTCTGTTTAGCGTCCGCAGAATTGCAGATTTTTCTCGCTGTGAATTTTTCATTGAACAGATAATTAAAGATTTTGTGAGGAGACGTTTTTGCAAAATTTTTAAACTCGGTCGTTCGTCACCCGTTTACTGTCGGTATACCTATTAAAAAAGATTATTTCTCGATTTTTTTTTCCAATAACCTGAGTTACGGTATATAGGATTCGCTGATTACAAAAATACGATAGATCAAGGCTGGCCAGGTATATTATTCAATTACCCTACCAAAATCACTTTTGTTCACTGATTGTCTCAGCTATCCATGTCACAAGTAAATTCAACGACGATAGTGATGTAACAATGTGTCAGAAGATTTTTTTCGGATATTTTCATGACGAAACAATATCAAAATGCTATTTTTTGGTTATCACCAACTGTAATCGATATCAGCAAATGTAACGCGGGCCACAGATTATGGTACACATGTGGCCCGCGGGCCTGGGTTTAGACCACCCTGAATTAGAATAGGCTCTGCGTTTTAACTCATAGTAAAATTCTGGCAGCGTACGACAGCGGCCCTTCTCTGCGAATATGGATGGATTTCATTTATTGAAAACTTTATGTTCACCTGTCTCTCTCTTTCTTCTGGTCGAATGATTTGAGTTGTCGTCCCACCACTGGTTTTCTGATGCGATTTATTAATTCTGTTCCTTGGGTCGGATAAGTTTGGGTCGTCCTTTTGGAACGAGAAAAAAAAAGTCTTTTATTTCGTAACTCAAAACTCATTCTACAGTCCCAAGACTTTTAAAAAGCCACGTTTCCTGACAAGCTGTTACGGTCCGACTTGGAAGTTAGAAATTTCAGTTTGTGTTCGAAGGGGTCCGCCCACTCGAAAAAGTTTGTTAACTAATCACTGGAACATATCTAATTCAGTTTATACTTTTCTAAAAACTTCCCCGGTACATAATACCCTCCTTCTCTTATCGAATAATTCCGGCATATTCCTGTGGTTGCCATCATTTTATCAACCGAGTGACTTTCTCAGCTAGCACTATGCCTTTTCTTTTTTACAGTTTTCGGTAGAGCTACACGAAATACAAAGTTAAAGTTTTTTACCAGGGTGTTGTGCAATGAACTGCAATTCCATTCTCTTTATTTACAATCTACTTTGTATCAATACGTATCCGTTGCCACAAATATGCTTTCTATTTCGCGTGGAATTTTTTTTTGGGAGGGGGGGGGGGAAGTGTGGAGCTAATTGAAAATAAATAGATTTGATAGATTTGATCCTGTCCGCCTCATTTTGAATATTTACATTTGCATTTATTTACGTTCCATTCGCACATTTACGATGTGTTTTTTGAATAAAACATACTTTGGTCTTACTATCTGTTATTTGTAACCTATTGTTAGCTAGTTATTGTTGAGGTGGGCGCGAGACTTGACAAATTCTGAAAAGGGCGGCTTGAAAAGTTTGGGAAACCACTGCGTTAGATAAAAGCTAACCTCTTCAAAACAATATATAACTTAATCAGCGGCGACCTACTATGACCTAACTAGAGTATAATCTAACCGAAGCTCACAAACACATACTTGCTATTTCGTGGAAAGAGATTTTGTTATTTTTATAAAATTTTCACCTTTGAAACAATACATCCCTTGATCTAAATTTCAAAACAATTTTTGTCTGTTCCAATTTCTTTCTATCTACCTGGCTACTTTCACCCAATAAGCTTAGAAGCAATTACCTTCGAAGTATCGACCGTAACTCGTCGTTAAATAAAAATCAATGTCTCCTCCTTTAAATCCGTTTAAATAAGTCCCTCACTTTAATTACGGAGAAAACTCTTTTTACTGCATTCTCTTAGTTTGGTTTATCCGCGCACCCACGAGACCTGCGCGATGAATTGTTATGGAATGAGCGGCGAAGTAATTAATTTTGCGAATGGCTTTAATGCAGTGGTTCTCTAACTTTTAAGCCACGCCGCTTTTTTTAGAATTCAACAAGTCTCGCCTCAAAAATACCTTGCTAACAATAAGCTACAAATAACAGATAGTTTGGTGTAAGTATGTTTTATTCGAAAAACACGTCGTAAATGTGTGGATGGAACGTGAATATTCAAAATAAAGGAGAAAGACCGAATCTAACAAAAATTTTATTTTAAATATTTTTTCGCCCCCCTTGTGGGGCGCGCTCCACAGTTTGAGAACGACTGCTTTAATGTGTAAACGCGCATTTTAAACATTGTCATGGCGCCATTTTACGTAGATACGCCACTGATTGCCAGGATATCGTGTCAAGAAGGGTTGAGGTGTCGGGGAAAATATACAACCGACTTCCGTGTGCCGTCTGCCGTGTACTTTGTTACTTGCAATAATATTCACCTCCCCCCCTTCCCCCCCATTTTTATATGTAAAAAAAAGTCTGGCGATCTCTGACTCACGATCTAACGTGGCAATTAGGAATATCAGAGTCCTTTGAAAATCCCTGGCTGCGTACCACATTCTAAACGCCACAACGATTTGTAATAGTTTAAGAGGTCTTCATAATATCTTAGTGAATGTCATCAGACGGTAAATTTCTCTCAGGGTAGAGATTCTAGGACCGATGGAAAGCGTGAAAACCAGTTAAATTTTACACATTCCAATGTGCGCCGTACTTAAACATTTTCAAACGCGTTTTACGGTTGCTATCCGAGATTATATAACGTGACGCAAAAACCTTAAATTTCGTAATTACTTTTCAAAAATGAATAAATTCATTTAATACTTTACTTCTGTTCTTGTATAATTGCATCCGAAAGTTTTAGTAACCTAGGCCGCTTTGCACGACAGTTATGTTCTCGCTAGAATATGTTCCAAATAACCTTGGGTTCTTTTTGGAGTATATCCCATTTAGCACGAACGCAGAATTGTCGAATAATCGGATTAGATTAAAATTAATCGAATATTCGATATTTTAAAATTTGTACATGCCTGAAAATGTCCGATATTTGAATATAACTGAAATTGGTTATTTTCGAAATTTTACAATTAGGATTTCGTGATATCCACTTTGCATAACTTCTTTAATTTATATCAGTGGTCAATATACACCATTTATCATTGAAAGTATGTTCGCCGAAAGACCGGAAAAAATATTAGTCTTCGCTTAAAAAGTGTTTTTCGTCAAAGTGCTTGTCATATATGACATATTCATCCACTTAGTACCGCGCGAAGATCAATTTGCCGCCATAATTTCGATATTTTCTCGCCTTATCTGTGATGTCATAATATAAATTAGCAGAGGCTTTGAGTCGTAACAACGTGTTATCTGGTTACTTAATGTGATGTCACAGTTAAAGTGAAATATCTTTCATCTGTTATAAGTACCTACTCAAGCGATTCCGCCCTCCGGAAAAAGTTTTATTACATCAGCAACGGATATTTAATTCACTTTAATACATCTTTGAAGTCTTTGCGGTATATATATTAGCGTCCCGCCAAATCAATTCTGGCGCGAATCCAAAATGACTTTTCCAGTTATTCAAACGTCATAATTAGTTTTCTCAATCTTGTTTAATCTAATTCATCGATTGGTGCGTCATAATCGTTTCCTCATAGAATATTCCAGATGACGAATAAAATAAACAACTTCACAATAAATTATCAGTGCCTCAAAAATATCGTGCCCCACTTCACCCACGTTTGTTACCCACTTGCCCCACTGTTCCGAGTTGGGTATATCGCGAAGCTGTGTTGAAGCAAATTGTCTATAGAAAACCTTGCCGCTTATTGCGTTGACGATTATGTAATATTTTATGTCATTTTGTGATGACGTCATAGTATTTATTATTGTGCCTGGAAACGTCATATTTCGTCATCGTAATTATCATTTGTGTGATGATGTCATAATTGACGTAATCATTGTTGTAGATGACTTAGTATTTCTCCTACCGCGCTCATGTAAACCCGGCACAATTTAATTTTTTTAATTTCTCTTCGTGCGTGTATTTTGAGCGCTTGCCGATGATAAATTACGTTTTTATTGATTTGAATTCCCGAGTATGGGATTGTTGCCTGTCTTTTGCTGTTTGCTTGAGGGAATCCTCATTTGTTAATGGTTTGGTATTAGACAGGAAGGGAGTCTACATACTATTTTACAAAATGCCAGGCGCAGAAATGCCTTTCACTTTTCACCTTTTTTCCTTTGATAAGAAAACTCACTTTTTTTCCCAGTTATTTCACAGGGTGTTTTCAATTTGTTGAGCATGAATTGTTTGAACATAATGAGATTTAGAATCTACCAATTGAAATAACACTATAAATACCATCGGAATGGTAAACAGTGGGAAAAGAGTGCCAAAAGCCTCCAAAAGGGGACCACAAGCCATAAAAAATTAGAAATCACTGACTTAATGGGCTTATCATGGGCATATAATTACTTATCGATCTTGAGATCGGTAAGTATGTTGATAGGTATTTGTCTGTCTGTCTGTTTGTTTGTTTGTCTGTTAGATACACGCGATATCTCAAAAAGGCGAGGTTGAATCTGCTCCAAATTTTGCATGTGCATTTACCATATCTCGGACCAGAAGCCTATCGATTTTGAATGAATTATGTTGTATAATTAGCAACTTATTAATTGATTAGTGATGGGACACACGGTGTCACTATAGAGTCACGAATCGAAACCGTGGTTTCGATCGATAAGGTTCGGTCTCCGACCGATACTCTTGTTTAATGTTTACTGCATTTTTTTTACTGATGTTCACCAAAGTTGTTTTGTCGATAGTCATCGCATTTAATGTTCGTTTGTCTTCACTCCCTCTAATTTTTTCATATTTTTCAGGTAATGGTAGAAGTTGAAGCAATCGACAGAGCCGGGAACTTCATTGGATGGATGATTGTCGACGGTGTCAACGTTTCTTTGGAACTTGTGCAACGAGGATTATCTAAGGTAATATATGCATTTTTGGGAGCTCCAGAAGTATGCGAACCAAGATGACGAAAATCGGCGCTACTGAAGTATGTGCACCAAGATGGCGCACAACCTGAACACAGTATGTGTACCCGGTTAGGGTTTAGGTTGTGCGCCATCTTGGTGCACATACTTCAATAGCGCCAATTTTTGTCATCTTGGTTCTGGGGGGGGGGGGCTAACTTTTCTGCTACCTGGGGCGAGTTTCTGATAATAAGGCCCCCTCTTCAAAAAATTTTGGGATTTTGGGGACTAAACAAATTATATATAATATACAGGATGTCCGAAAAGTTTCGTTCGATTCCATAGCGTTACCAATTGAAAATTTGAATAAATTTGGTTGTATGATAAATGGAGACTATAACATTCAACATCTATAACATCCAATAAGAAACAGATCGACTACAAATCTTTTTCAAAATTAAAAAAAAAAATTTTTTGATTATAAAGACTTTATAATCGGGCAAAACTTTTTCAACACCTTGTATATGAGATTGCATAAATATAAGGTCAAGTAAGTGTGAAGTGTTTGTATTATGAACTATATCATCAAACTAAGCAACAGGCCCCCTGTAGACACGCCCCTGCACAGCTGCGAAATCTTGAGTCTCCATGTTATCATTAGAGTGAGAACTGGAATGGCTCGGCGTTATGGCACATTGCGCTAAGCGATAGGAATCTTGTCACAGCACCATCGATTACCTTGCTCAGGTTCGAATCCCGGATGGGTGAGACGATTACTGGACTCCTCGCCATTGTGGGCTGGTTCATGTAGCCACCAGTCAGTTACGGCTTCTTCCACCATCAAGTCCATGCATCTGAAAACAAATAACTGACTTACTGATCCTATACCTGACCTGGAATGGTAACCGGACAAGAAGCCGTGGCTTGGCATATGGTTAAGCCTTCTCATCGCCTTTCCTATCCTAACTCCTATTTTTGTTTTTTCAGGTTCATTTCACCGCGGAAAGAAGTCGATACTACAAGCAGCTTAGTGAAGCGGAAGAGAAATGCAAAACAGCAAGAATGGGGGTAAGATTTGGGGGATTTTATTTTTCTTGAGGAGAGATGACCAACTGTGGACGAGAGGTGGAAAGCTTGTCTCAGTGTGTCGCTCTCATCCTTACCTTGACTTGTTGTATTTAGAGTAATTTTTTCGTTAATTGTACTGTGGCTTCGAAGCCATTGTAATTCTATAACCAGTTCGGTTAATGATAATATACCTATCTCCCCCCTCCCCCTATTTTTCAACAAATATTTTTACATTCAATTTCCAGGTTTGGCAAAATTTTGAAGAGCCCAAAGAAGTCGCTGTTGTGGAAGACACTGAACGTAAAACCTCGTATAAAACAGTCGGAATTACCGAGGTTACTCCACAATTGCATATGTTCTGTCAAATATTGGATGCCAATCGACAATTGGACAAAGTCACTGAGAAGGTAGAAAAATTTACGCGTTTGCCTAGTGGTGAAAGCGTTTGACTTATTTGTGCGGCATCGCAGGTTCCTGGGTTCAAACCCACCTCATCCCATGTTTGATAAATTGGGGAGGCAATGTCGAACTAATTAAGTCCGTAGATAGCATCTTGTCAAAAGCCGTGTTCAGAGACGCAGATTTTCATGCATAAATGTCATCCTGCTTTTTTTTATTTAATTCAATACATAGTCTTGCTGCACACTAACACAAATATATTTCTGTCTAACCAAGGTCAAACTTCCTCAGACATACATATTTATTGAATTACTCAGGATAGTTACCTTCACTCTCGCTACAGCATCCTTGCATTATATGCATACAGATCCTCCGACGCAAATGTATAGAAAACGAAAAAGTAGTTGGTCTTGTAGAAACCCAATCAATTTGCTTCTTTTATTTTTAAAATTCCTGCTTTTCTAGAGCTTAATCACTGGTTCTCAACCAGTGTTATCGAGAAATTTAGTTGCCGTAAATTTGGTCAATCAATCTTAACGTGGTTATATTTTATTATCGTCGATATGAAATCTCGAAGGGCCCATTCAACGCTTAAAATCTACGAGCATAATTTAACAAAATTTCGCCCTAGTTTGCTGTACAGATATTTCTGAAGCAGGGCTTTTATAAAAGGGGAATATTTTTTAAATAGGACTGAAAAAAGCTCTATTTAAGCGACCACTGATTTCTAACCATACTTAAGATCTACTAGTACACTGGTTCTTAACCAGTGGGCCATGGCCCACTGCTGGGCCACAGGAACATGTCCAGGTGGGCCACGGACCTATCAAGGCTAGACTACAGACCTGCTGGAGTTGTCGATGAAGTTAGTAAAAATTGTATGTAATTAGCAATGGATGATGAAGTTTTTTGTTACAGGGTGATAATTTTCACTTAATTATTATTAAACTGAAAGTGTTTATTTTCGCAGAAAGAATTCTATGTTTTTCTTGAAGTTTTTCGCATGAAAAGTTAATGGGCCACAGGAATTTTTGTGCAACAAAAATGGGCCACAAAAGAAAACAGGTTGAGAACCAGTGGACTAATTAATCAGAGTCAAAAGTGTGTAAAATCTTATAAAAATTACCGACTTTTTTTAGATGAGGGGAATGCTTGCTGCTGAACCACCTCTCCCAGGAGCTTACAAACCTCGTCGGGCTGATTTCTGCTTGTCACGCTTCACTGCAGATGGTGAATGGTACAGAGCTCGAATTGAGAAAATAGAATCGCCTGAACGAATTAATGTTGTCTATATTGATTATGGAAACGTAAGTGTAATATTTGTTGAAGCATGAAGTGACAGCAGTTTTACTACTCTGTAATATTGAGATTATTCTGACCAGTTTCGCTTCATTACTTTCCCGGGGTAGATTTGATATAGTGATACAATCTACATACGCGAAATTTATCATTACATGAAGTTTAAAGACTTTGGGGTTTTTACTATATTCGAAAGTTGCTCAGGGTAATCGCCTATTTAACAACAATTTTGGTGGTTACAAGCTGTATCGAAAACAGTATAAACGAATCGTTTAAAGGGATCGTTTTTGCGGCCCAAATGCACCTTTTGTCCTATTTCAGTGTGTACAGTTTTTCCCAATGTTCACTTTTATATTTTTAATTCCGCCATTAATTTGGTTCTTCAAATTTTCAGAAAGAAACGGTGCCAACAGCTCGACTCGCTTCCCTGCCAGCAGAATTCAACACCCAAGCACTTTACCCACAAGCCCATGAGTTTGCGCTTGCGCTGTGCAATGTTCCGGAGGATGTAAGTCATTTTTCACAACTTTTTTTAACAAGGGATAGGCTGAGATTCACCCAGGGGGGGTGCAAATTATTCATAATAGTGCGAAAGTTTTGAAATTTGGTTAAAAAAAAGGTAATTGCAGGTAATTGTACATCGTGGTGCGTAAAGCTAATAGTCACTGAGATTTCCCCCAAAGATCATGACTGAATTTCACCTTATTATGTGAATTGCCTCCCCATTTTCATTAATTTAAGATTACCACCCCATAAATCATGGAAGTCCCAATGGGTTATTTTAAACCTTTTTATGAGTTCCACATTTGCAATTATTAAATCCTCCCCCCCCCCCCCATTGATATCACCCCATCTCCCCCATTATTTATGTAAATTGACCCGCTTTTCAATAATCTAACCATGCCCTCTTTTGATCCCTATTCTGAATTCACCCGGCAATAATGTCTCCCTCATTTTAAGATCTCCCGCTCAATAGCACCCCTGCCCCTCTAAAAATAATTTTCAATAACTGAAATGATCCCTCTCTCAAAAATGTAAATCTCCCCCACAATAAAGTAAATTTTTATTTTTAGCCTCCAATAATGAAAATTCGAATACAATCCCCCCCACCCCAATAATGCTACTCATACCAGACGGAGCTTTTTCCAACCTTTATTTCTCACATTCACAGGAAGACAGTCGACTTGATGCATTCCACTATTTATGCGACATGACTGCAAACACTCAATTTGTGATCAACACTGAGTATACCGACAATGGGATAGAGCATGTCACTCTACTTAGACAGGTAATATAGGTTTTATAGAGGACTCGCAATTAGAATTCAATAAAAAGTTCTTGATAAAGGAGCATAAGCATGGCCAGGGAAGAAGATGCTGGGGAGCCATTCCTGGTAATTTGTTTCAGATGAATGTACTTAATGGTGGAGGAAGCTGTAATCCAGGGGTCGGCAACCTTTTGTTGCTCGCGGGCCAAAATAAGGGCTGCAAGTCATTGGCGGGCCGTCATATTTTCAGTTGAAAACCGAACGGATGATACTTTTTATATTAAAAAAACAAGCAGTGATACATCTCTCGAATAGAATATACATTTATTTCCTCATTGCATCTCATAAAATTCCATTTGAATATTTGCAGCGTCATTAAACTTAGTATCAGCTTTTCTACGTTTTGTTGCCATTTGTCTCTCGTTAAACGAGTAAATTTGAATTACCGGTATATATTTGTGTAATTATAATATAATTTAGTCTCCCCGTGTCTCTCAATAAATTCTGTTACCAATCACCGGGGTCCGAATATATATACTACAAAAACAAGCTAATGTTCACCACCATGTCTAAAAAAACAGTTAAAAATGTATCCAAGAAGCCACTAAAACTTTAGTTTTCATACCGACATTGACATCTTCTTCGATGCTCTGAGAAACTCATATTACAATGACAATTTTTCACTGTGGTTTAGAGAAAAATGCTTTACATCACCTCAAGAAGTAGTCGCGATCCAAATTTAGCACCTTAAAGGTCCGAATTCGGGCCGTGGTCCGCCGGTTGAGTAGCTCTGGTCTAGGAATGGCCCCTCTTCTGTTACAATATGTGAGAAATCATTCATTAAACTTTTTCTTCCATCCAGGACGATCGAGTTGACGTCGGGAAGAAACTGATATCGGAAGGTTTATGCACAGTGGCTAAACGACGGGAGAAACGTCTCTTGAAATTGGTCGCTGAGTATGTAGAGGAACAGGACAAGGCAAAGAAGGCCCATGTAAGAATTTTAATTTTTTATCATCCCTTTACCCTCCCTCGATTTCTAAATAATTATCTACGAATTTTCCCATTTTTTGCCCCCATTCACTCTGGGCACCCTTTCTTCCCCCTCCACCCCCACCTAAGACAGACACAAAGTGCTAAAGTGTAAATGCTATCCTAGCCGTTCTAATATTTATAAATTTTCTCTCACAGCTGAATCTTTGGAGATACGGTGATATCACTGCTGACGATGCATCGGAATTTGGGTATTCCCGCTAGATGGCACCATTGAGCCAGGAATTGTAGAAAAAGATGTTTTAATTGAAAAAATAAATCACTTTCGTGTCTGTAGAAGTCTTCTCTATATAATTAGTTTTTGGAAATTGGTGAAATGAAATTTTAGGTAGAATGTGTTATATTTTAAAAAATGGGGTTTCTTAATTTTGGTGTTATTTGCTCTTTTACTCCATATGGAATCCGTATTTTACTACTCCTTTACTTCCGAGTGAGTGCCCGTAACCTTACTCAGGGATGAATGAGTCATCTTTACTACTTCTGAGTGAATGCCGTAACTTTACTCAGAGATGAGTCTCCTTTATTTCTGAGTGAGTGCACGTAACTTTACTCAGAGATGAGTCTCCTTTACTTCTGAGTGAGTTCCTGTGGCCTTGCTTAGAACAAAATAAAAATGAATTATAAATTGAAATCATTTTGCGTGTGGCTGCCCAGTGAAATTTGTGGAATGAAATATATCTTGTAGTATTGAAAATGCAGTATTTAGGAATAAACCTTCCCCCAATATTTTCGTAACTGGACTACTACTGGACCAAATTAGGATTAATCTTCATATCTTGGCTTTGTGACATCACTTCTACGTGTGATGTCATCAAAGCATTGTTGTGAAATTGTTATGTCACTATTGAATTTATATTGTTACGTCATTCTTCCAATCATGATAAAGTTCGTTCCAAAGAAAATGTATTTATGACAAAATAAAATCAGTGCCATTGATGAAAGAGTGTCTGTCATTTTTTTTTGCTCACCGGGGGAGGTAGTAAACGACACGTCACACCAACCAGAGGCTACGTGGCCTACCCTACAATGGCGCGAAGTCCTGTAATCCTCTCGCACTTAATTATTCCCCACAGATCCGATTGCAAGCGTATTCCTAACGCTTAGAACGATGCGCCACGCCGCCGAGGTTTTATTGGACACGTCAGTGGACATAACAATCGTTTCAATATTATGTTCTTGTTCTTCGACGCGTTTTTGAAAATTCGCGTTTCTCTTTAATTATTGGACCAATGGAACTTTCCCCGAGCGTCGACTTCCTTGTTTACTTCGTGACATTGGCCAATCGGCAAGATGCAAAAAGTGGCGTAACAATGCCCCCTTTCCGCGTCCGCTCAGACACTTTTCTCATTCGGACAGATTTTTAAGCATGGTCGTAAACATTACCTTGTTTTTGAATTCTATTCGTTAGTTTTCAGTTGTGTCTCGGTAACTTGAATATAAATTAGATATTTCAATGATCACTCTGTCTTCCTAGGAGTTTTAATGTAATTGCAGTAATAAAAAACTTGTGTGGAAATAGCTGTGATAGACTAGGCTAAAATTCTTTACCGGTACTTTTAAAAAACAGATTGTTGTGTGCGATGAATCATAACGATAGTTTGAAACACATACCCCATTTCACAGGCGCCAAATCGCAAAACCACTCTTTAAATTAGCCCCAAAAATTTTGCAATGGTAAAGTATGGGAAAAATTTTTTTGGGGTCAAAAGTCGGGGAAAGGTCCGTCGCTTTGAAATTTTCAGTAGTTAAAGATGGAATTTTTTCTAGATTCCTATTACGTTTATTAATTTAAATATTCCTGTGAGCTTTATGAGATTCGTTTTTATTTTGAGCTATGACGTCATCAGAATTTGTTATACATATTTATGGGATTATATTTGACTATTCGAACCGCACAATGGCCAGAATTCGAGTTGCTTCTATCACTGACCCCTTAATAATACAATAGAGCAGGGGTCGGGAACCCATGGCTCGCAAGCCATATATCGCTCTTTTGGTGACGGCATATGGGTAAGCTTACTATTGTTACCAGATCTCAAACTATAAAGTTATTGCCAAATTTGGCAGAACATTTGCCAATACGTTTGACAACACGCGCTCAACTCCTGTCTACGTTATTGGACACGAAGTGGACATAACGATCGTTTCAAAATTTTGTTGTTATTGTTATTTGTCTCCGTCTCCATTTTAAAAAAAAATCGCTTTTCTCTTCGAATACTGGTCCAATTGCTTTGAAATTTTCTGTGGTTAAAGATAAAATTATTCTCAAGAAGGCTATTACTTTTTTTTCGCTATGACGTCATCAAATTATTGCCATTGGGTGGCGCTACGTGTCCATATATTTTAGCATAGCTCTCTTGTGGTAAGAGAAGTGCTAAACAGGCATTGTGACAAAACTATGTGATTCTAAAACATATTTTGTGACACCACGAAGCGATAGAGGAGCAATAAAGAAAAGCATTCTGTCCGTTTGTAGTGTTCATTTGTAATATTTAGCAGTGTTGCCAACTTGGATTATTTTAATCTAGATTTAGATTATTTTCGTATGATTTAGATATAAGAAATACCCATTTAGATGTTAGATTATTTCAGCATCCATTTAGATATATTTTGATTATTTTTACAAATGTTATTTTGCATTGTTCTCCAGTGGCAAAGAAGTGAAGTTCACTAGTACCTAACATTTGTAGATATGTAGTTAAAATACAGAAAAGTTTTCCAATCGAAGTTAGGGTAATAGTGCTCAAAACAACAAGGAAGGTTTGCCCAAATATTGACAATTATTATTAAACTATTACCGTAGGCCTACTCTAAAAGTAGCGTGAACTGAACTCTGTTGTTATGCAAAAATCTGAAGTCAGGAAATACTGTCAGACTGTTGTTCACTAATTCTACTCCTATGATAATGTCAAAGAAACGAGTGCAGAAGTGGCAAACGATATGATCAAAAATTTTAAAAATAGTGGCTAAAGGATGATTGGTGAAAGAGTGGTTAGCGCCCATGGCTGCTGATGAATCTAAGGCATTCTGCAAGTTCTGTAAATGTAAAGTCAAAGCAAAATATCAAGATTTGAAGCAGCATACTAAGAGCCAGAGACATTTGAAAGCTTGTCCATTCATTACCAGGACACTTGATTCATTTATGACTCTTAAAAACTCCAAAATAGCAGAGCTGTCAGAGCCACCAAGTTTTTATGTAATAACGCTTATAAAGCCAGTAAAATAGTTGGTTAACCCGTTGACGTCCAGCTGAGCGTGTGTGGGCTGGGGTAACTTTGGTCAAGACGAGATATTGGTGATGGCAGATTTAGCATTCTAATAGATGAGTCCACAGATATAACTGTGCATAAATTACTAGGTATATCAATAGTTTATTTCAGCATGTCAAGATTGTGTCAACTTATCTGGAACTTACAGCTTGTGATGCTCAACACATTGTTATAGCTATTAAAGAATGTACTCGGTTCACATAAATTGAGTTTGAAGAATCTTGTAGCAATCAGAACATAATGCGAGTGTGATGATTGGCATGAATAAGAGTGTTCATGCACAACTGAGGGCCGAGATTCCATTCTTTATTCTTATAAAATGCTTGAAAATGTAACTTTGGTATGTTTGGATTATTATTTTTTGAATTTAGATTATCTAGATATTTTTTGTTAAGATTCTAGATTATTTTATCACTGAACAGTTGGCAACCCTGATATTTAGCACTACGGAGATGCCTGAAAAAAAGAAAGGCGATGAGTATCGTCGATTTCAACATGTGTTGCATGTGAGCATTAGTTCAAGCTCCTCAGCGACAATATCCAACATCAGAAGTCACATTAAATGTATATTGAGACATTGTATGTGTTGACTTTTAAGTAAACTTTGAGAGATGATTAAGGAAAGAAAAATGATGTATAGCTCGCATGGAAATGCAATTGAAAATATGTACCTTTATGGCTCTCTTGACCAAAAAGGTTCCCGACCCCTGCAATGGAGATAGGACAATAAAGTTTTTATCCGCAGTGAGGCGATCCAAAACAGGCAAAGAATGAATATATTGACCACTGGTGTAGTCAGGGGCATTATATGAAGTAGTTCTGAGGTTTCGCAACATATTTGGTTTGGTAACATATTAAAAAAGTTACAAATGTTGATAAAAGTGTTTCAAACAGTTTATACTGAGACTGTCTGTGCCTGTTTGTTACAAACAATGCGCGAAAATTCCTGGATCCACGCGATCGTCATCTCATCTCTTGGGAGAACCTTCACTCCAAAATGGGGGGGGGGGGATCTTGGCCACGTCTATGCCCCTTTATTAGGGCTTTTCATCAACTTCTAGTTGCGAGTCCGCTATAAAACCTACATTACCTGCGTGATATGCTTAATCCCATTGTCTGTATACTCTGTGTTTATCACAATTAAGTGTTTGCAGTCAGATCGCACTGTCCTCATATTCCCAGCAGGGCTACGGTGTCGCATCTTAATCGGCGTTGGGATATGCATGTCATCCCCCCTCTGATTGCCATGTGTTGGTTCGCAGGCTCGAATCCCATGGGAAATAATTATGCCCAAAGGAAAACTGGATTGCTCACCGCCGCAGGGTGGTTCGAATGGTGACCGTACATTTGAACCCATGCGTATATCCACGGGTTCAATCTATATGCGGGTGCTAAATCCCATGGGTTAGGGTTAGTATGGGTTTAACTATCCGTGAAACAAAAAAAATTCCATAGGTGCAATAGCATACAGGTGCAATTGTCATGGGTTCAAATGTAATGGAACCGGTTCGAATACCCACTAGTCGGTTACGATTTCCTCCACCATCGAGTCCATGCACCTGAAAACAGATAACCAGCCGACTAATCCCATACCCGACATGGACTAGTAACCAGAGCAGTGGTTTTCAATCTTTTTTCGTCCGTGGCCCACTTTGGTTGCATAAAAATACATGACTGTTTTTGCAAATATAAATACTTTCAACTTAATAATTAGAATGCAAAGCAGCAGCATCATTCATTGGTACTACAATAAAAATTTAACAATAATGACACAGATGAAATTGAACTTTTCAATAACCATAGTTATTTTTAATAGGCTTGTGGCCCTCTTGAAAATGTCTCTATGGTGCAGCAGTGTAAGTATATAGTTTATTTCGACTCCATCATCAGCATAACAGGCAATAAAATAATTGTTAAAAACAAGTAAATAAAAACTGAATATGTAATCAAGAGAGAAAACAAGTTCTAAAACGTTACGGAATATAACATGGAAGGTTTGGTAAAAAAGAAGTGGTACGTGCTCACTCACCTTAAATTATTAAATTCACACACACCCACACGCACGGACACGGATATATAATAAAGTAAGAAGAACGCGATAAGCCTGAGATAAATAACACAGTAAACAAAAAATAAATGAAAAATATTTACAACACCGTATATATTAATAATTTTATAATGGTTGTCAATTTGAGTATCGATTTCGTAAATCAGAGTGAAAAAGCAAAAAATAAATGAAACAAGCTATTCGAGGTGGGCGCGAGGCTTTTCCAAATGTTACATCGAGTTTTTGATTAGATAGAGAAATTGACGCACTATCATTACGTAACAATTATGAGACAATGTAACAATCATATTTATGCCTTGTGTCGCGTTAATAATTTCAGTACGACCCTACATGTTGAAAAGTGTGGTTTGATCGCACCGGCAAAATTACGAAGGCTGTCAGAATGATGTCGAAAGCAAAACCTCTCAGTGGCGCACAGAAACGTAGAAAAAGGGTAGAAGAGGAAAAACGTATGAAAAAAATTAAAGTAACCAAGGAAAACGGCAAATTTTAGGTTACCATTGCCTTTTTATCGCGACATGTCATGCTTTTTGACGAAATAATCCTTGTTTTACCTTATGTCCGAGAATTTTTAGGGTCATTTCCACGAAATATTTTTGCGGGGGGGGTGGGGGGAGTATTTATAAGCTAAGTCGGTGAGGTGCTGAGATAGAACGTGAGGGTATGGTGATAAATTGGTTATAAATATAAGTCTATTTTGACCTCATGATCAGCATAAAGACAATGAAAACAAAGATGGTGAAACAAAATAACTTAAACTGATTACAGAAAGCAAACAATTTCTTTAGTAAGGTTTAAAACGAAGTAAGTTATGTAAAACACGCACGCGCACATACACACACAGACAAAATCAGGGGAGGGAAAAAATAAGGGAACATAAAATTAACTAGTAAAAAGAAAAATATACAAACAAAATAAACAGAAAACAAAATTTTGCCACACCATATTAATAATTTTTCCTGATTGCCAAATTTAATACCGAATTAGTTAACAGTACATGTTAGCGAGGGTTTTAGCGAAGTTAAATTTTGTAAAGTAAATTATAGACGGAACCTTTCTGAGGTCAAGGGTCGAGAAAACACCGGGCTTTTCAAAAGTGTGCTCGCTGCTAGTATTAGCAGAATTATGTCATCTTAAACTGTTATAGGTGTATATATATGTGTGTGTTACATCACAAAAATAAAATAAAATTTGGACCTCATGCAATAATATTGAAATATATATTTGGATACACCAAAACTATCATTTGTATAAATCCAATTTGGCAATGGATTTGAATTTGGCAAAAAAAAAAAAAAAAAAAAGTGTGTGTGTCATGTGTGTATATGTTCAGGTGTATATACTTCATGCATTGAACTGGAATATCAAAATCAATCAATCAATTGGACTAATGATAAAAAATGGGGATTGGGTAATATGTTTTTGTTTGTATAATTTTGTACTTCTTATTGTGGATTTTGTTTTCCTGTTTTTTTCTATGCAAATGTTTATTTTCTTGAAATGGGATCTAATCATCAAATTTGGAAACTTATCAAATTTTAATTTGACCAATTGAAAAAAAAAAAGTAAAACATAGGCTTTTTTCTTCTGATAAATATAGAAAGTGTATCTTCTGTTGATTATGTAGTTGGAATATACTTATTCAAACGTTGGCGTAGCATGCTACAAGATTATTTGGAAAACTTTCACGTATCCTTATTTGAGTTTCGCGCCCCTGAGTTAGCTTTATGCCTCACTCACCATACTGCAGTACTACCATATTAATATTCAATTTTGTAATGGTTATAAAACTATTAATAATGTAATATGGCGCGGCTAATAGTTTTTCATTTTTTTTTCATTCAATTTTTTGTTTACTATGTAATTTAGTGATTTATATTACGTTTCTTGCACTTTTTTTCTTTATTATGTGGATTTGTGTGGGTGTCAATTAATTTAATATTTTTAGATGAGCAGACACATACCACTCATTTTGGCAAAACCTTCCAACTTTTATCTGTATGCTATAAACAGGGCTGCCATAACGTCCTTTTTCTAAGATTTGTTCTTCTGTCTTAGAAAATATTTTTGTCCTTATTTCTAAGAAACGTCCTTATTTTGACATGTGTCCTTATTTTTTGTCTTATTTTAGGGGTTCTTATACAGAGTACTTAGTTTGGTCAATTTTAATAATTGAATTGCTGGGAATGATATTAAAACCTCATTAATTGCTACGCACATTCATGACTTAATAACAGCAAATTAGTTGCTACAATGACAAAACAATAGCCTACCGGCAAAGATCAATTCGTGTAACTTGAATCAAAATACAACTTAGAAATGAGATGAAACAGATAGTTTCTAAGAATAAAACACTGCTGGAGCAAATCCTTCCTAGTGCAAAGTATGATCAGAATGAAAACATTTTGTTTATTACATTACATTTTTTTGTTATCTTATCATTATTTCTCTGATGTCCTTATTTTCGGGTTCATATCGATGGTCATTCGACTACTGAGGTATCACTGTTATTTTCTCAACTATTTTAATCAAATTAATTTGTCCAAATTATTCTCGCGCTAAATGCAAAACAGAATAGTTCCACCCTATAACCAGGGCTGCCATAATGTCCTTATTTTTGAGATAATATATGATGTTCATATCAATGGCAGCCCTGGCTATAAGCCTTACTCAAGGTCGTTGAGGTTTTGTTTGCTCTCCTGATTCTGTAATCAGTTTTTATTTATTTCATTTTTATCTATTATTATATCGGCTCTTATGCTAATTATGGAGTCAAAATGTAGTTATAATTACACATATCACTGGTAACTTGCTTTGACAGTTTGAGCAAAATTAAATGATATTTCATTATTTTTAGAATGCTTTCTCCAGGTGTTGTAAACCTTACTCGGAATATATTCAATCATACTAGTGGGAGTAGTGTCTCTAGTCACAGTATGTGGTCATTAATGGGATTTATATCAAAACTATCATCGTTGTGTCCGGATCTTGGTAAGTAGATTAAGATAATCAAAGTGAATTTATTGCTTCATTATGGAAACATATGGGCAGTAGGAAATAGTTTCCAAATTTCGAAAATGTCCCTTCATTTGGTTCCATAAAACAAACACTCCATGTGTCTCACAAACAAGGGGCTTCAGAAAAGAGGAGAATTTAACGCAAAGGCTTGAACCGATGTACTGCAAGCTTTACATACGGCGTGGCACATCAGGCTAAGCGTTGGGAATACGCTCGCACCTGATTAACCTGTGTGGTTTTGCAGGTTCGAATCCCATGCAGGGATAATTATGTGTGAGAGGATTGCTTGCCGTCGTAGGGTGGTTCACGTAACCGCTGGTCGGTTACGGCTTTCTCCACCATCAAGTCCATGCACCTGAAACAAATAACGTGCTACCTAACCCATAGACTGGTAACCGGATGGGAAACTGGTACACTGTATGATTAAGCCGCCTTGTCGGGTTTCCTCTCCCCCTGGATAAATATGTAAATCCTATTCTTTCTATAGCCTGGGTTTATTTATATGGCATGAGATATCACCAGATGCCAGTTTAAATGGGTGATACCCAACTTTTTTTAATACATTCCCCCCATGTGCCTCATTTTGGATTTTTTCATTCCTCCCTTGCTGCTATGTGTGAAAATTCATGTTATTTATATAAATTCATGTTAGCCAGGGGGGCTGAAGAGCCATGCCCTCCACCAAATTTTAAAAAAAATTGCGGCATTTGCAGTGAGACATAAATCTTGACACCGGTCTTACTACTTACTGAATACAGCGCGAAACACCGCAAAGAGCGCGAAACAGCGCAAAACAGAGGGAAACAGCGCAAAACAGTGTGGAAACAGCGCGAAAGAGCGCAAAACAGAGGGAAACAGTGTGAAGCAGAAAAAAATTTTGCAATGAGTTCGGGGCACCTTGTTTTGAGTTGGAGTACCACGGCAGCAAATTAAAAACACAAACCAACGTATGTAGCCAGTAATGCTGTAATGGCAGGTCTGCCCCTGCTGGTGACACATTTTGGGTACCATAATTTATAACATTTTCCATATGGATATGGTTGGCTTTAGGGTTAGGTAAAAAGGGATCTCCAGAAGTATGTGCACCAAGATGGCGCACAACCTGAAAATAGTATGTGTGTGTGTGTGTGTGTGTAGCGGATTCAGGTTGTGCGACATATTGCTGCACATACTTCTGGAGCACCAAAAAGGTAGATAATATTTCGCATGGTGACCTATAATCCGGTACATAACCTTGTAAATATGCCGGATATAGCGCCATAAAACATGGCGAGGGGCGCCGTGGTTCTTTCGTGGCAGGAGGTGGTAATGACTGCGTCTCCTGTTTTGCGCTGTTTCCCTCTGTTTTGCGCTGGTTTCCTTCTGTTTCGCGCTGTTTTCCTCTCTTTTGCGCTGTTTCGCGCTCTTTTGCGCTGTTTCGCGCTCTTTGCGCTGTTTCGCGCTGTATTCAGTAAGTAGTAAGACCCTCTTGACACTATTTTCAACACTATCTTATTCTATTCTTGAACGATTTACTTAGCCCCCCTCATCCCCTGAAAAAACTCTGAATGACTACGATGATGTGTTCATAAATATATTTTACAGTAATATTAACCTACTATGTAATATTGTTAAAACAACATCAAATACCCTTCCCCCCCGAAAAAAAAACCCTCATTGGGAAAGAATTCCCTCCACATTTGGAAATGCTGATTCAAATAAATGCAATTCAGCACTGTTTATAATGTTTTTTTTTTCAATGTTTCACAAAAAAATTTAACAACTCAATGACATTATTAAAACTACACAATATAGAGTAATGTTACTGTATTCCCCCAAAAATAAAAAAAATCAATTCCTTTCAAGTTAATAAATGCTGACTTAAATACGGTAGATGCAATTCAGCACTGTTTATTTGTGTTTTTTTAGTTTTTACAATAAAATTTAACAACTAAATAATATTATACAAATACAGAGTAGTGTTTCTGTTGTCTCCTTCCTTCATTATCTCCCTCCCCAAAAAACAAAAAAAATTTTGGGGAGTATTCCCCATTTAGGGGGGAATGCTGATTTAAATCAATGCAATCCAGCACTGCTGGGGTATTCGATAAATTTTGGCATTGATGCATGACGTAGATATGATGTATAATATACACAACTAAAAGTAGGATCCTATCTATATTTAATCGAGCATGGTCCATACATATTGTCTATTTTTAATGTATGGCCCACACACGATGTGAGTAAAACAATATTTGGGTATAGCTTCCTTGTTTAGAGAAAGGAAATTTGTCAGCTGGAAAAATAAACAGTTCATTGTTTTTGGGGTCGTTAAATAATGTGTCAAATATTAATTCCAAACTTTCAAATTTCAGTGGAATTTATCAGTAATTATTATTTTGTAACTAGGCTATTACTACAATACTAGACAATGCATGGCCCTGAGGTAAAGGAAACATTCATATATGATTCAAGCATGACTCGTGTATTGTCCGGTTTCAAATGATATGCTTTATACATAACACACAGAAATGCAACTAATTTATATTTTTTAGCAGGTCTGGCTTCAATGCATCTACCATTCACAATGTCATACGCAGTGAGTACCTTGGGCGGGGTGGACGTGTATTTATTCTCTCAGAATTTTTACATTTTGAAAACGAAATTATTCAATGAAGACCATTCAGTGGATCGGAGTTCTACTCCTCATTGGAGGTGGGTTGAACATTTTTAATATTTTATAAAGATTGGGATTTATGAACATTTTCAAAAAAAAAAATTTAAGAACATTTTCTCAAAAGCAAGATCACAAGAATTAGGATAGGAATAACATATTTATCTTTGAGGAGAGATAAGACGACGTTACCATATGGCAAACCACGGCCTCTCGTCCAGTTACCAGTCCATTTCGGGTATGAGATTGGTTAGCCTGTTATTTGTTTGCAAACGCTTGGATTTGATGTGGAAGAAGTCGTAACCGACCAGCGGTTATGTGAACCATCCCACGGCGACTAGGAGTCCAGCAATCCTCTTGCATGTGATTATCCTGCACATGTTTTGAACTTGCGAACACACGCAAGGTATTCAGAGGTGCGGTAGCAAGCTTACTCCCAACGCTTAGCACGATGCACCATAATGTCGAGCCGTCATATTCCGTATAAATATTGAGCACTAGGCTTTGTATTTTGTTGATGGTTGGCTTGTAGTAAGCATAGGATGACATCAAATACTTTCAAATTTAGTTATGTTTGATATTTTATATTTCCGTTTTGAAGCACAGTTTAAAATATTTTGAAAATCACTTGAATGGCCTAATGAATAAAAGATCTCCATTAGATTTTCTATTTTTATTTCCCACCATAGACGCGAAGATTTTCAAATATAATAATCAATTTATTTTACGAGATATTTTTAATCGTTGTTCCCACATTACGATCAAAAAATTAACGCCCTAGTTATAGCTCCTTTTACTTGTGAGAAGGGCTTCATTGAATGAGGCTCTAGGCAAGCTCCCACTTTGGATTTAGGATAGGATTTACATATTTATCCCGGGGGAGAGGAAAGCCGATAAGACGGCTTATTCGTATGTCCGGTTACCATTCTAAGTCGGGTATGGGATTAGTTATATTGTTTGTTTTCGGAAGCATGGACTTGGTGGTGGAGGAAGCCGTAATCGACCAGCGGTTACGTGAACCACCCAACGACGGCGAGGAGTCCAGCAATCCTCTCGCACATAACCGTCCCTGCATGGGATTCGAACCTGCGAACCTACGCAGAGTAATTAGAGGTGCGGTGGCGAGCGTATTCCTAACGCTTAGTCTGTTGAGCCAAACCGCCGCACTTATGATAGGTTTTGGCAGAAATCCCTCTGGTTTGGCTTAGTGTTTATTTAACCTTGGTGAGATTGTGAACAATGAGACTTTTTGGTTATGCTGCGAACAAATGAGATTTAGAAGGAACAGAACCTTTCTTGTCCAGCATATCCCGGATGAGGTAGAGACGTGAAATAACTCGTCAGTGAATGGGAAAGAGGCCTAGCAGGAGCGTAGCCAGTAATTTGCAAAGGGTACAAATAAACAAAGGGACGGAGGGCTTTTCCCTCTTTCTCCGCAACTTTATCTCTTCGTGATGTCACAAAATAGGTTCTAGAATTCCTTAGTTTTGTCACAATGTCTGTCTGGCACTTCTTGCACATGACTTAGATAGGCGCTGAGCGCATGTTCTCAAACATATTGCAAATGTTCTGCCAAATTTGACAATAACTATATAGTTTGAAATCTGGTAACTATAGTAAGCTTAGTCTTGGAATATCAGATTTTTTTGGGAGCCACATGCCATCATCAAATGAGCCGTATATGGCTCGTGAGTCATGGGTTCCCGACCCCTGACCTGAATTATATATCTGCCTTGTTTTTCGTAAATTTCTAACTATTCGTGTCGGCTAGTTCTACTTATAGTTATCACCAATCATGTGACTGCTTAAGTGTTCTTTGCTATTTCTATTTCTCTCTTATCAAAGAGCGGCTTTTGACTATGTCTCTCTTTTCCTTGCAAATTGAAGCGAGAGAAACACATGAACTACTTATTTTATGTCAAATAATTTACGTTGGATTAATGAAGAATTCTCGCCCCCTTTTCACGGCGCTTGGATTTCCCGTTCGCTTTAGTCTCTATGGTCCAGCAGTGGGCCATGGCCCGGATGATTCTAGCGGTACGAGTAAAATATTCAAATACTTGTCTTCGTCTGCCATAACGATGGCGTAATTTGTAAAATATGCTCATCCTTATTGTGTCAAGGTTCCGTCGATTTAAAAACAATTTGGAGAGCAAAACACAAGAGCAAGTATGATTGGAGCCAATGCAGAAAAACTCTGCTTTCTCAAACTCTGCTGTCTACAACTGAGACTATTGAACTGGAGCTATTAATATTCATAAGCTTCCTGCCCTTACAATAGATGTTCTTTCTTGCCATGCACACAATTTTCTTTGGCAATGTGGTTTTACACTGATAATTTCTATCATGAGGTATTGAAAATTGCTGAACTCAGAGATGCACAAAGAAAGGTGTAATTGTTTTTTTAATGGAATTTTTTGTCAACATTGCACGAGTTTAACATTTTGTTATAGATTTCATTTATTTTGCAAAAAAACACAGAATTCTCAGAGTGTTGCTTGTTACTTTAGTCATCCTTTTATGTGAGACAATATTGGTATCTTTTTTTCGAACAAGTTTCGTCGAAATAAAGTTTCAAATCTTCAAATTGAAGAGTAAAGGTGGTCGCATATGGGTCGAAATCAGCAGATTTTTCAATGATATCCATTTATGAAAAAAAAAATTTAATTGCTATCTTAGGCCCCGTTTTCCAATCCGATTATTTCAAAACATTTGGACACCGCTTGGTCCTATTGATTTTGCCAAGCAATTGCTATATAGTGGTGTCGATAACTTCCTCTCCACAAGTTTATTTATCTCAACGTACTTTATTACAGATATCATTTCCCCCATCACACTTTCATTAAACACAGACGAGGTATGTTGGATATACTGTGAACCTGGTAATTGCTTGAATGAAGTAAATACGACATGTATGACTACAGACTGGGAAAAAGTAACGGATGTATGGGTTAACAACGATTGCCAGCCTTCTAAGTTTCAATTCAAATTCACTTATGAATACATCGATTGTGAAACAGGTGAAACTATTTCTTATTCGGAAAGTTTCAAGATTGTTCTGAACATGGCTCTTCTCAAGCATCAATGATAAGTTACTGTATATGTTGAAGGATCTCCCAGTTTAACATTTGTCCCTGCTCACTTCATTAAATCTTTTGAAATTTTTTTATTTTTAAAATAGGTTGAATCGAAAAGTAATTTGTTTTGAGCGCTTCTAAATTCTAGAATATGTTTGATATTTGAAAATATTACTTCACAATTGTAGATTATTCTACTCCAGTAAAATCATGGCAAACTCCGCCCACGCTGCTCTGGTTATAATGAATTGACTGCGCTGAATAACTTATATGGGAAGTAAAAGAGATAGATTTACACCCGCGACCTCCTGAAAAGCTATCAATATTGATTGATTCATTTAGCCCTATTTGTTATGTTCATTGGTCGATATGCGACGAATTGTCCAAGAATAGATTTCCATTTATATTTCAGGAAAAAGACTTGAACAACCAACTTTCATGACCCCACAGACTCCCAGCCAATCAGTGACCGTACCCCTTAATTCTCCAATCATATTGCACCGTCTACCCATCCAAAGAAATCCATACAAACTACCCAGGCAAAGAAATCCATCTAAACTACCCTGGCAAAGAAATCCATACAAACTACCGATGCACAAACTACCCAGGCAAAGAAATCTATACAAACTACCGATGCACAAACTACCCAGGCAAAGAAATCCATCCAAACTACCGATGCACAAACTACGCAGGCAAACAAATCCATCCAAACTGCGCAGGCAAACAAATCCATCCAAACTACCGATGCACAAACTACCCAGGCAAAGAAATTCATACAAACTACCGATGCACAAACTACCCAGGCAAAGAAATCCATACAAACTACCCAGGCAAAGAAATCCATCTAAACTACCCTGGCAAAGAAATCCATACAAACTACCCAGGCAAAGAAATCCATCTAAACTACCCTGGCAAAGAAATCCATACAAACTACCGATGCACAAACTACCCAGGCAAAGAAATCCATACAAACTACCGATGCACAAACTACCCAGGCAAAGAAATCTATACAAACTACCGATGCACAAACTACCCAGGCAAAGAAATCCATCCAAACTACCGATGCACAAACTACGCAGGCAAACAAATCCATCCAAACTGCGCAGGCAAACAAATCCATCCAAACTACCGATGCACAAACTACCCAGGCAAAGAAATTCATACAAACTACCGATGCACAAACTACCCAGGCAAAGAAATCCATATAAACTACGCAGGCGAAGAAATCCATATAAACTACCCAGGCAAAGAAATCCATATAAACTACGCAGGCGAAGAAATCCATATAAACTACCGATGCACAAACTACCCAGGCAAAAAAATCCATACAAACTACGCAGGCAAACAAATCCATCCAAACTACCGATGCACAAACTACGCAGGCAAACAAATCCATCTAAACTACCGATGCACAAACTACCCAGGCAAAGAAATCCATCCAAACTACCGATGCACAAACTACCCAGGCAAAGAAATTCATACAAACTACGCAGGCAAACAAATCCATCTAAACCACCGATGCACAAACTACGCAGGCAAACAAATCCATCCAAACTGCGCAGGCAAAGAAATCCATCCAAACTACCGATGCACAAACTACGCAGGCAAACAAATCCATCCAAACTGCGCAGGCAAAGAAATCCATCCAAACTACCGATGCACAAACTACCCAGGCAAAGAAATCCATCCAAACTACCGATGCACAAACTACCCAGGCAAAGAAATCCATCCAAACTACCGATGCACAAACTACCCAGGCAAAGAAATCCATCCAAACTACCGATGCACAAACTACCCAGGCAAAGAAATCCATCCAAACTACCGATGCACAAACTACCCAGGCAAAGAAATCCATCCAAACTACCGATGCACAAACTACCCTGGCAAAGAAATCCATCCAAACTACCGATGCACAAACTACCCAGGCAAAGAAATCCATACAAACTACGCAGGCAAACAAATCCATCTAAACTACCGATGCACAAACTACCCTGGCGAAGAAATCCATATAAACTACGCAGGCGAAGAAATCCATATAAACTACCGATGCACAAACTACCCAGGCAAAGAAATCCATCCAAACTACCGATGCACAAACTACCCAGGCAAAGAAATCCATCCAAACTACCGATGCACAAACTACCCAGGCAAAGAAATCCATCCAAACTACCGATGCACAAACTACCCAGGCAAAGAAATCCATCCAAACTACCGATGCACAAACTACCCAGGCAAAGAAATCCATATAAACTACGCAGGCTAAGAAATCCATATAAACTACCGATGCACAAACTACCCTGGCGAAGAAATCCATATAAACTACGCAGGCGAAGAAATCCATATAAACTACCGATGCACAAACTACCCTGGCGAAGAAATCCATATAAACTACGCAGGCGAAGAAATCCATCCAAACTACCCATACATACACCATCTACCCAGGCAAAGAAATCCATACAAACTACCCAGGCAAAGAAATCCATCCAAACTACGCAGGCAAAGAAATCCATCCAAACTACGCAGGCAAAGAAATCCATCCAAACTACGCAGGCAAAGAAATTCAGCCAAACTACGCAGGCAAAGAAATCCATCCAAACTACGCAGGCAAAGAAATTCAGCCAAACTACGCAGGCAAAGAAATTCAGCCAAACTACGCAGGCAAAGAAATCCATCCAAACTACGCAGGCAAAGAAATTCAGCCATACAATCTCAAATATCGTCTCCACTAAATCGGAATCCAGCAATAACTCTCTCATAATAATTTTGATATTAGTTGGATCTTTGAAGATAGCAGTAATAGCCGTTTTGATTGGATTATTGATTTATTGGAAAAACAGGTGAAATGAATTTTTTTTTATCCCCCCTCCTCCCCTGCCCCAACTTTTTTATATCTCAACTAACGATATGTCTTTATTACAGACAACGAGGCCACAGAGAAAATAACGCAATGTCGGCACAAGAGCCCATATATGAAGAGATTGCCGGACTTTTCAGTAGTTCTGGACAAAAGTCCCAAACCGTGACCCCAGTACATGGAGAAGGGTATCTATCCCCGATGCCCCAACCAAACCCCAACGCATCAGTTCAAATACAAAGTGTGGAGGAAGCATATGCTGATCCCCAAGAGGCCGATTATATTGTCCCAGAAAATATTCCTGCATCTACCCCACCTACCCCCATACAACCTTTCAGAGACACACCCACCCCCCCAACCGAATTGCCTCATGATGCTGAAGGATATGCCGTACTTAGCACCCCATCATTCCCTAGCACACCTCGTCGAACCCCGAGTGTCGAGGACGTGTATGATGAGGCTAAAAATGATGCTGCCCCGCTCAATGCAATTTATGATGACACGGGAACTGCCCCGCCAGAAAATATCACTGCCCCACCTAATGCGATTTATGATGACACAGGTACTGCCTCGCCAGAAAATATCACTGCCCCACCTAATGCGATTTATGATGACACGGGAACTGCCCTGCCAGAAAATATCACTGCCCCACCTAATGCGATTTATGATGACACAGGTACTGCCTCGCCAGAAAATATCACTGCCCCGCCCAATGCGATTTATGATGATACAGGCACTGCCCTGCCAGATCATATCACTGCCCCGCCCAATGCGATTTATGATGACACGGGAACTGCCCCGCCAGAAAATATCACTGCCCCACCTAATGCGATTTACGATGACACAGAGACAATCATGGTTGGGGTTAAAGGTCATTCTATTTAGTCACATACTATGTGCTGCTATTCTGCTTTGTGTTAGGATGTTGTAACTATAATCTGTGTTAGCTGACTAAGAGAAGTCGTCATCATAAATGGTATGAAAAATTAAAAAAATAGAGAGTGTTGTTTTTGTTTTATTTCATGTAATCAGATTTCTTTTAATGATTTTGAGTGAAATATTTTGTTCATTTATGCTCTGTGATTTCAATAATAATTCAACCATGACCAAACAAAGCAATCTAATATCAGTGGTCTTTAACCATTCACCTATTTTGTACTTTTTTATTCTCCCCCTCCCCCACTATGCATAAATACTATACTTAAGTTATTTGTTCAATCTTCGTTATCTAGCGCCAAGCGCAAGTCGAACTCTGGCATTTTGCAGTTTAGACTATTTATAATCTATCCCACTAGTTCTCAGCCAGGGGCCCATGGCTCACTGCTGGGCCTCGGAAACAATTTCTATTCTATATAATAATTTTTTTAAACTTTTTGATAAATTAGTTGAATTTGATTGTATTAGAAATGAGTTGACAAAGTTGCTTTAATGCTACTAAACAGTAATTTTCATTTTAATTATTAAATTGAAACTGTCTATCTTTGCGAAAAGAATATTTATTTTTCTTGAAGTTTTTGAACCCCTTAAGTCTGCATTACAATAATACTAAATACTGAACAATATTTGTTGAACAACGCGAAATACAAACAAAAAATTTTTCTCCAATAATAAGAAAATTCATCTCTTGGGGATTCCCCTTTGGTTCGGAGATGTGTCAAATGAACTTATTTTGAGCTGAATGAAGAATATTGAGAATCTCATTTTTTTTTATTATGATTTGTCAAATAATGTTAATGTCCAGCTAATTGCCCCCCTACCCCCCAAAATTATAAATATGTTTACCTCAAAACGCTTAACAATATTAGTTGAACAACACCAAATACGAAATGAAATTTTATTAAATTTCTCTGGGAGGATGGGATTCTATCTCGTTCCACAAACAAACATTGTGTTACATGAACTGACTTTGAGCTGAAAGGAGCTTTAAAGAATATCATGTGTTGCATTTTTTAATATGATATTTTGTTGATAATGCCACATTAATGTATATTTTATTGTCTCCTCATTGTGGAGCCAAGAAAATTACCATGTTTGCCCTGAGTTAGTGATCTAGATGGGATTTGCCCTTGTATTGATGTTGAAATTCAAGTGAATTCACTAATCTGTGTTGAAAGTTCCATTATTTCTATTTTTATATCAGCTGATGTAGTTTTTTTTGGTTTTATCAAGGTAATATGTTTTTATTGTACCATGTTTCATGTCTTAACTCTGAACAAGCTAAAAAAATATAATGCAGTGATTCGCAGCCTTTGCTTATTTCGTATCTCTTTATGTAAAAACTACTTTATTTGTTAAATCTTAATAGATCTCTAGCTAGTAATATGCACATCTGCATTCCCACTTTTGTACAGTTCATAAATTGTGTGCATAAACAAGTATTTAACATTAAGGAAACTACAGCAAATACAAAGCAAAATTTTCCCCTAAGTACGCTAAGATTTGGCAAGTAAAACTATTTTAAATTTCGGTACTTCCGTAGTATGTGTAACAGGTTAGAGTTAGGCTATCATTTTATCCCGATTTTCCTCGTTTTATTTCTATTACTTGTTCGGTGACTGTCTGCGTTAGCCAAGTGAATATACCCCTACCCATAGGTTTCAGTCCCTTTACACAACTTGATGTAAAGCAGGCGAACAAAATTAGTTATTTTCATATTGTTACACAAACTTCTGGAGCACCGCTATTTGTATAGGACCCTGTTCAAAGTGAAAGCGAACTTATTGTTTTTTTCTACAGTTTTTCCATTTTTCTACTAATCAGACGATTTTTTATTATGTTTTATTGAATTTGTTAGCCTGACTTAGGACTAGAGATGCAAGTTTCAGAATTAAAGAGTTCAATTTACTTATTGTCTATCAGCAAGGGGCGTGTCTATGGAGGGGGTGCAAATAGGCTGCTGGCAGCACGTTGTAATAATAATACTAACATTCCACTCCTGTATGGGTCGCATTTGGTCGGCGGTCCACAGGTTGCCCCCTGGTTTGTGGCAATTTAAAAATGTTCTTTGTACAAATCGCTTTTCTGCGCTACCAATCAGCCAGATTTTCAGTACAAATTTTTTCTGAGTCCTATGGCACCTGATACCTCACTTAAAATTTGCTGTTTTACATTAATAAATGGGAACACTGTTTATGAAATACGGGAACACTTTGTTTAGTCACACTCTCATTTTCTTTTCAGAAATCTCGATGCTGAGCTAAGGTCTTACGTTTACCATACCGGGGCCTGTTTAGTGTCGTTACCAAATACCAATACCAACCAGATTTGAGACTTGATTACATGCTTATGATGAGGATTTACATATTTATCCAGGGGGAGAGGAAAGCCGATAAGACGACTTAACCATATGGCGAACCACTGCTTGTTTTAGTATTGATACACTTGGTTGCCATAAAGGCATTTTTCTGTATCAGGCATAGCAATTTTTCGTTAAATAAAACCCTTATTAACTCTTAAGACTATTGACGTTTTCCGTCCTCCGATCGGACCCGCTGGGTGTTACTGCCTAACTTGGCAATTAGAAATTTCAGCTCCTCCCTATTCCGTTCAAAAATTCCTGGCTTCGCTAATTTCAGACATAAACTGTCGGATTGGGATTTTGTGCTTGATTGGGTAAAATCCGAGTATTGACAAGGTCAATAAATTGCTCGACGGGCCGGAATGTGGCCCGCGGGCCGCCTGTTACACACCCCTGGACTAGATTATTAGCTTTTGCATTTGTGGAACCTCTCTACTATCTTGTTGAAAAAACATGTCGTCATGTGCTTAATTATTTAGCATACATTATCAATAATTGAAGAGAGTCATCAGTAGAGCAACAACCATCGATATCAAAGAAAGAAAAGTTAATATTCTTAAAGACGGAGAATAGGGAGAATTATCTTAGGAAAGGATTTATATATTTATCCCGGATAAGAGGAAAGTCGATGAGATGGTTTAATTATATAACAAACACGGCCTGTTGTTCGGTTACCAGTACAAGTCAGGTATAGGATCAGTTGTTTGTTTGTTTCATATGCATTGACTTGATGGCGATAGATGATCTTCCGAAGAGTTTCGGTTTATATGTGATGAGCTAAAATCAGCTATCAACACTTTTAAAAAGCAGGTTGTTGAATATTTCGAATTAAAAGGATTGGTACAAAGCCGCAAAGCAGTTTGCAACCGACCATTCGCTGGGCCTTATTTCATTTTTCGGCACTCCCGAAGTATGTACACCAAGATGGCGCACAACTTGAACATTGTATGTGTACGAGTTTGGGGTTCAGGTTGTGCGCCATCTTGGTTCACATATTTCTGAAGATCCCATTTTTCCTACGAAAAATAACACTAGAGTCTATTTTGGGGAGATGTTTTTTATTTTCATTATACAAAAACAAAAATTACAAAGTCGAGAATTGCGAGATTTTCAAATAGACAAAATATGAAAACCGGTTTCCATTTATTTACTTATAAATAACACGACTCGGTCTTATTTCAAGGGGAGGGCTTATATTGAAATCATTTTCAAAATTTAGGCTAGGTCTCATTTTCGGAAAAACACGGTATGGGAAGAATTTTCTGGGACCAAAGGGACCAAATTTTCGGGCAGCTCTGAAAACCCCAAACTATTTTCAGCAGATTTAAAAAAATAAACGCCAACTATCGCTAAAAACGGCGCTTCTGTATGTGCAACAAGATGCCGAACACCTGAACATAGTATGTGTACTAGATTAGAGTTAGACTATAATTTTATTCCAATTTTCCTTATTTTAGTTCTATTACGAGTTCGGGGACTAGCACACTACGTTCCGGTGTCCGCCATCTTGTTGCACATACTACGGAAGTATCAAAAATTCTGCTGTACTGAACAAAAATGTGAAATTATTGTGAGTCAATGTCTATTATGATATATCTAATTATGACGTCAAATACCTGTGGCATTGTTGAAGAGAACCAAAACATGACGTAACAATGATAGGTGGCATCGTGTGGAATCGTTCATTGTTTGAGTGGTATTTTTAAACGGCTTTGTTTGCCGACGGCTAATCCTTTTTATAGAAATCGCAAATATATAACAGGTTTATAAATACCCTCGATGTACAAAAGAAATTCAATTGAATAGATATCAGGACTGGGCTTAGGGTAGTAAGCCGCATCTTGTGATACCGGTAGGGCCGTAGGGTAGGCTATTCAGTCTGAAAACTTATTAGGCAGAGTCGGATGTATTTAGGGTGAAAATGCGATTTCAATATTTATCCCGGGGAGAAGGAAAGTCGGTCAGACGCTTCAATTATATAGTGAAACTTGGTCTCTCGTTAAGTAGATAACCTAGTAAGATATAGTTTGCAGAGTGTCTATGTGTGGTACCGGTAGCAAATACCGGACAATGTGATAGGTATCAGTTAACTTCAGTGCATGGCCCTTCGAACTGTGGGTCGCGAAAGTGCTCAATGTTCGTCGTTGCAAAACCTTTTATGACACTGACTTATTATGAAACAAAATATAGATCAATTTGGAACTAGTACTGAGATTCTCCATCATCGAAATAGAGCATAGATTCGTTCTTTTGTGCGGTAATATACAAGCAAATCGGTCTCGTTAAAAGTATTATTATCAAATTTTACTTTATTTTTATTTTAGTTTCTGAGGGTTGCGAAAAAATGTGCCGGTGTCAATAAAAAGTTTGAAGAACCCTGGTTTAGTGTAGTGAGCCACATTCACGATACGGGTAACCTATATATGAGAACGATTGGACAGCGCAACACGATTGTCGTCGCACTTCTGATTATCCCTTTGTATAGGTTCGAAGCTAGTATGCTTATATGCGGGATGATTGCTGAACTCCTTGCTCAGTAGTGTGGTTCACGTAGCCGATACTCGGTTAACGTTTCCTACGCACAAAAAAGCGAATAACTGGTTAACTGGACAAGTAGCCGTAGTCTGTGACATGATTAGGCCGACTTGTCGGCTTTCCCTTTCCCCGGATAATAAGGAAAATCGTACTGGGGTGAGTAACTGTTTTTGAGTAACTTTTAAAACTTGTCAAGGGCCAACTTGCGGATCTTTTGTGAGATTGAGGTTGGCATAGCGCTTAACATATGATGATTCCCCGGGCATCGATTTCCTTGTTTATTTCTGTAACAATGACCAATCAGCAATAAGTCTATAATTGCTATTCGTGGAGCCGCTCAGACCCCCCTTTGCTCAGGTAGATATTTAAGCATGGTTGTAAGCAATCCCCCGTTTTTAGCGTTATTTGTCAGTTTTTAGCTGTGTTTAGCGGCTTGTGAATATATATTTGCAATACAAATAATGGTTTTAAACATGTAGACCAGTTTGTAAGCGACAATTAGCAGAAACACTTTTTAAATAACCATCAAAAATCTTTCAATGGGAGGAAAAATTTTCCTGGGGTCTGAGGTAGGGAAAACATCTATGCGTATTTTGATAACGACAGTCAGACTACGTCGCTGTACAAAAAAGTGTGGACAGACGCGACATATATTCACTGTGTTAGTGATGTATTAATAGCTTCGCATTCCACTATGTTTAATTATTAAATGAATAATTTATATAGCGAGGTAGACCTCGGTAGTAAACAAGATGTTGGTGGGAAGGAGAGCTGACAAAAGTTTCAGGTTACAAAAAAATCTATTCGAGATAAACTTTGACCACGAAGCAGTAATTAAAATTTTTCGAATAACTTAGTTTTTAGTTGTGTTTATTGCTTTTTTCTCTCTCAATTTTGAATCTTGGTTTCGCAGACTCATGATGAACAATTTTGGTCTTTCGCGACTGCCGGTCAAATGCGATGAAATCCGGTTCTGTAACGGGTACTCCCGTAGTATGTGAACCAGGTTAGGGTTAGGCCATAATTTTATTCCGATTTTCTTCATTTTAGTTCTATTACGAATTCAGGACTGTTTGTGTTAGCCAAGTGAATATACCCATAGGTTATAGCCCCATTACACAACTGATGTGAAGTAGGCAAACAAAATAAGTTAACTCCATCTTGGTACACATACCTTTGGAGCGCCCCGAAATGTATAATAATTAGTGCTGTGATTTCTTGCACGACGAAATAAACTTATTGAATATTATCATATGCATAATTTTGACACCACACTTTAATTCTTAACGTAAATCAATTGCATTTAGATATCGGAAAATTGCTTATAATATGCCCGTGCAAATGATTAGTCAAAGACATCACACATTTTCATAACTATCAGTTGGAGTTACGTAAGACTAACTACCTTTCCTTGCTCTATGCCTTTGTGGAAGTGGATGCGTGTACGTGTAACACAAGGATGTTGTGCCAGGAATAAAGATGACTATACAATTTGATTCAAGTGTCTTGCTGCCCACTACTAACTCGAATATATTTCTGTAACGTCTCGTCTGACTAAATCAGACTTTCTCAGACAAGCATTTTATAACTATGACGTAATTTTGTTCCTATCGTTATGGAAAATTGCTTTCCTCGTTAATTACTCGACCAATTGCTTTGGAATTTTTAGTGGTTATAGATTGAATTTTTTGCTAGAAGGTTATGGAAAAGCTAGGGCAGTTGTTTTACCGTTACCTATACCCTGATACAGGTACCGTACTGGTAAGTTACCGCATATAATTTTTGGTGAACTGATGATAAAATATGTCGTTTTGCCCTCCGTGTCTTTATATTTGAGCATAGCTCTCTTGTTATGGAAGGCTTGCGTACGCAAAAGTTTTTGTTATCAGATTTTTCCTTCGACTGGAATTCGGGACCGTAGACAACAATTTATCCAACCCGGATCCGGCGGCAGTGGTAGATTTTCCCGACTCCTCACACATTTCTGGAGCGCCCAAAATTTAGGTATCGAAATGTCCGTATCCGAAGTGGAGCGACGATTAGTCATAAATTCTTACATCAGACTACTTTTTACTTTAGTAGAAGAGGGTATTGGGTCCTTTGAACAGGCGAACAAGCATGTATACGAAATTACTTTTGTCCGAACCTCATTCCAAATTTTACTCAAGAATCTATTTTACTGGAAATGTAATGACGTAATCATCCTATTAACCCCCTTTCCCCCCATCACAATTTTTTTTTTCTGAAAGGATGATGTTGACAATATCTCACTGTATGTTTCATGTTTGAATATACAGAATAACTCAAAACAAATATAACTGCGGGATTAAAACAGCATTAAGAAGGGTCATCAAATATTCATCAAAAATTTCGCCAAATC